ATTGGCGACGAGTAGCACACTGGTCGGCAAAGTTGATCAGCATCTTGTCGATACTGCCTCGGTGTGTTGCATGGGAATGGCACAGGCAAAATGAAGCAGCGATAGCAGGCGTGGCGAGCGAGTTGCCCAAGTCGGCTAGGGCTCTGGAGAGACTTGTGTGGCTCTCGGATAATTTGGAAATGGGTCATTTCTTGCTACTCGCTGGGGCGGGAACTTTTGCAGTCGCCAGTGAGATCGCTCTTGTATTGAACAACGGCTCCGCCAATCACATCTCTTTTGACCGTGGTTCCGCCAATCACATCCCTTGTATCCACAGCTCCACCAATCACAGCACATCCCACGTAAAGTGAAGGTATCTAATTCGTGGAATTGGCGATGCGGACAGAAAGTAAAAAAAACTTAATCTACTCACTTCAACTTCGCGCCAAGTTTAATGTGGGGTGGTACAAAAACTTGATTCGGAACCCAAGAATTATAATAACTCTTAAATCGTAAATCCTGACATAATTTAGCGAGCAAATAGGCTTTCAGTGCAGCGCGAATGAACTCTAGAAGCAATTTTACAACTGTAATGCCGGCCACGCTATCTAAACTTACACCACCCATTTCTCTTAGATAATAACAAGTAGACGCCATGCCATCCAGCCCGAGAACTACAATTCCTGCATTAAGTCAGTCATAACTTTATTTACACCTATATAGAATACTTTTGTTTTTCAAAGTTGAGAAGATACATCTGTAAAAATCACAAGTTCAATTCAGCCATGATTAGTCTCCATGAATTTGCATGCCCAAATCAACATGTGTGCAGCCCCCCCCCCAAATTCCATACTGAATGTCATAGTTGTGCTGTGGTTGGATCTTCCCTGACCCACGGACCCTGAATAATGCCGAGCACTACCTTTCTCGAGGAGGAAGACAAGGAGCTGGTGCAAATTGTTCGCCAATATGCTGACCAGGGAGTAGTGCGTATTGCGTGGAAGGATGTCGCTGCGAAGATGAAACGTTGGAGGCGTTCACCCAAGGAACTCGCCCAGAGATTGAGCTCGCTTAAACGCACCTTCGGATCGGAGTTGTCAAAATTTCCACGCTGTTTTTACACTCCTGTCCGCGCCTCCCGAGGTCGCAGAAGTGCTCAAATACTGCGCATCCGTCAGCCCCATGGTAGCGCCGGATCAGCCAAATCGACAGCGCAGGGACCTAGCCAGCAAGGGCATGGAAAGTCTTTCAAACAACAGCGAGGCAGAGTATCATCTCACCCAAACGACATGGAATTTGTGTCTTAGTTATCGGAAGCCACGCGGACGTCAACTGTAGAGGATTCTGGTCCAGCGACGACCGATTTTGGCCAGACGTTAGCAGAAAACACTCCGTTGCCAATGGATGGAACTATGTTGGAAGCTCCAGAGCCTTTCGCTGCAGTGGTAGCCAAGCTTTTTGTTTCGGCGAAGCAATATGACACTCGCTCATTACTCCATGACAACAATGTACCACGTGATGTGCATCAAGTTGTAATTGTTTAAGAATATATCTCGGAGCGAGGTCGTGTACCCACCCGGTGCAGCTCATCTAAATGCTGGGGAGATACTACCGAGTGGGGTGTCGTCGATGATTGCCTCAATACACCAGATTGGTGCGATTGGGGCTTGGGATGTATTTCTGGATATAGGCTCTGACGTCGGGAATATCGTAGTTCAATTTGTGCTTTCAACTGCTGTTCGATCGAGCATTGGGATTGAGATACGTCGTGATCTAGTAGGTGGTTGCAATGGGATATTGAGTGAACACGTGAGCTGGCCAAAACTGCAAAATGCCGATATTTACGCTCAAGATGTGAAAAAGATCGATCTGTCAACTAAGTCTCCGTTCACAAGCGCCACAATCGTGTTCGCAAACAACTTGCGCTTTGATCCTTCAGCCACAAATCACATCGCCGATCAGCTCGCATGTATGCCTGATGCCAGAGTTGCTGCGCTCACCAGTGCGGTTTGTCCAAGACACAATTCTATCTGCACGAAACACTTCTGCCGTCGTTGGAAACTACGCACTTGTGTACACGTGAATGTGAGTTGGACATCAAGTGAGGTGCCGATTTATATTTTCGTCAAAAGAGGCGAGTAAGCAGTGCACGAATGTACTGAAGTTACCACGAGATTTGGTTATCGGCACTGCACGTTTAGTAGCAATCGTTTCTACCCAAGTCCGTATCTATTGAAATGTGTTTCAGTTATACATGTAGTTGCTCAGCGTAGGCTAATGCCAACTTCACCGTTGGGGAAATCTGGTAGCTCAAACTCAGATGGCATGCCTTCACACTTATGACGGCACACTCTCACACATAGCGGCTCAACTGAGCTGGAAATCTTCAATGCTCAGCATCAGGAGATCCATAATGGCCCGTATACACCACGAAAATGAAATATATGTAGGTGCATATCGTTAAATGTTTTTCAGGACGTACTTCCCGAATGCCGGTAAGCCTTACTCGTTCCTCCGCACACATTCACAAAAGCGTAGCAAAACGAAAAATTAGTAAATACAGCATAGTTAGTGCCCCGCCATCAACCATTCAATGTCCGTACACCCGTCAACCATGAACAACTTCATATCGCAGGATCAGATGCCCTCAGCATTGCCCAGCACACTAAAATGCGCATTATTTTCTTCGCTTCCCCGATTTGGGTAAGTCTCAGGAGTTGTTTTCTGTGTCGTGACCACCGGATGGGCTCGTATCACCACCACCGTGTCGCTACCACCGGATGGGCTTGTGTCGCCACCACCGGATAGGCTTGTGTCGCCACCACCGGATAGGCTTGTGTCACCACCACCGGATGGGCTCGTGTCGGGGGAGAGAATGCCTATCAAAATTGCAGCTGTCCCATGCCTGCCAAAAAGAAAAAAAATATGGGAAACGTAAGATTGAGATGTGAGAAAGAACATAGGAAGGTGGTAAGTGTGAGAGCTAAAGCATATTCGATTTCGTCTTTGTCTGATGAATCCTCAAAAGCCGAGTCGTGGGGTGTATAATTTTAAAGATTTCTTGGCCCTATGCGAGCGTGCTAAAAGACCCACCACGCGAATCACCGGTTCTGGAAGAAAGCTGCTCCGTAAACGTCTGCTGGAGCGAAACGTACCCGAATGCGATGTACAACAAAGTCTTCGTGCATTATTCGCGTCCCACGAAGGCTATATCGATAAACGTGAGGTATGTGCAGCTCAGTTAGTGCTCCCTGACTACCGGCATGACCATCCAGACTACCAGTTTCCTGCTAATGCTTACCAAACTGCTACGACGAACGGTCGATGTGTCGCGAACTTGGACCATAATACCGCTGCTGAAGATCAGCGCCGAGAAGCTGGTGACCGTGACCGAATCGCTAATGATGCAGACCACCGCCAAGACGACGTTAATTTTGGCCGGGTTGTTGCTGCTCACGGTCGACATACCGCTGGTAGCGACCGGAAAGTTGCTACGACAGTTAACAACCAAGATGCCACCGACAATGGCCAAATGGCGCGTACCACAGATCAACGCCGAGAGATCACCGGTAACGGCCGAATTGCTGCTATTAACCGTCGAGACGCTGGTCATAGCGACCAAATTGCAGGCGCCGCACCGCACGTTACAGTCAATACTGTGTCCTACTGGGCTGCTGCTGTTTCTACTACCCGCGGCCAAAGTGCTACTATTTCTACAGGCCAAGGTCGCATTCCTAATGCTACGTACATCCGAGATGTTTCTCACCGCAACCATGTCGCATCTACAGCAGCTACCCTTGACCAACCCCATGCAGGTCGCGATCGAATCGCTACTGCGTCTACTATCCACGATCGAATTGCTGGTGGTGGTACTGCTCACAGTCGATCTCCTGTTGGCCATGGTTGCATGTCTGCTGCTCTTTATGTACGAGATGACCAAGCTACTACTGCTGCAGCGCATCGCCGAAACGCTATTGCTCCTCACGATCAAGCGGTCACGGGTAATGGTGGTGATGCTGCAGGTCGTGACAGAGGTAGTGATGGCGCCGCTCCTCGTAGCCATAGTGATGGCCATGGCGCTAGTTTTCTTGGTGGCGCTAGTGCCCGAGCTTTGCCTGGTCCTTCTTCTATTGCTACTGATGCTACTCACGCGTCTAACGCCGCAGTTTCATGCGCTGTGGATCTCGATGTACGAAGCCCCTCGTCGGATCAGACCGACGAGGATATGGCGACGAGTGATAACGATGACCAGAGCGCTGAGAGTGATGACAACGCTGGTATTGAGCTTTCAGAGGGTGAATACGAAGGTCAAGTAGGGGAGCCCTACTACGATGAGTATGATACGCAGGTTGTGGATGTCGCTTGGAATCCGACAGCAATTCCATACACATGGGTTCGCCAGGATTATCGTCGAACAAGCAGCGACAGGCGTCGCAATGAGCGAGCAGCTCGTCGAACCAACCAACGTTCGTAAGACGTTTTATTTCTAGAAAGGGCTCAGACCTTTTCATGTCGAACATGCATGTCAACAAACACTAAGTTAGTGAAATCACCAGATGAGTGACAAGTTTTTCACTGCAGACAAATAATTTGCTGTTGACTTCCGTCTGTTTGAGGTTGAATCGCTACTACATTTTTTGACGTTAGTGTCCACGTAGTACCAGCCTTCGTTCGCTAACTTGATGATAATTGCCTCGTTGCATCTGACAAATGTCCCCAAATGTCAGCCTGCGCTAAAATATTGCTCGTCCGCGCGTGC